CATTAGATGCCATAATTTAGTAAAGTCATAAAGTATGATTAGTTTTATGTGAATAATGAGTACAAAGTATTTTACAAATATTATTCTTTTAAGTATAAATGAAATTATCATTTGTGGAAATGTATCAAATGATGGATTCTATTAGATCTGAAAATGAAAAATATGTGTGAGTTCTGTATTAGTATAATATTTTTAATGTATTTTAAAACAAACCAAGGTTTTTTAATTAGACAATCGATAGTACAAATATACTTCCCAAATATAATACAAATGAACATGAAGTGATGAAATTAAGTCATGGAGAACCAATGTAGTATTAATGCATAATAATATATACTTATGATAAAAAGTGTATAATTATATTGTGGTGTACTTAAGTAATTATGTATTATGAAAATATTTAAAATTAGAAGATGAAAAGTTCCTATAATATTTAATTGATCTTTGCTCAGAAATATATGAATTTACTATCTTTAAGAAACAACCAATGATCATATCTTGTTCCTAAAAATTAATTATGGTATGATCTTAATGGTAACAATACACTTCAACCAAAAAGTACAAGTTATATATGACTAGACATTTGTATGTGTCAAATTTTCAATGTGAATGATTGAACCAAATAAAATCACAATGAACATTTATCAACATTTTTAAAATCTTTACTATTGTTTTATAAAGGTCAATTGCATATCAAATATCTTCAAATATATTCTGTTCTTTAACAAGGATAATGCCAGTAGTAAACATAATTGGAAATAGCAGTATATAAATCTAATTGTGTGTGGATAAACAATTGTGTATTTGTAACAGTTTGAATATTGTATGTCATATTTATATAATTTTCATTAATTGTATTATTTATAATTCTAATAAAGATTTTTGCGTGGAAATCCTATAATATTTCTCTTAGGATGATTTGACCTTCATATTTTCTTAGAACTTTGTAATATAATTTCATGTTGCAGATCTCAAAATCAACTATGTTCCATACTTTGGATACTTTTGATACAGAATTTTCTGCTGATTCTGTTGAATGGTGCCCAATAGATTCTTTCAAAAATATATTTGTCTGTGGAACATATCAATTAATGAAAGATGAGGAATTAACATCCAATAGCTTACTGTCATCGAAACGTTTAGGAAGAATCTATGTGTTTGAAGTTGTAGAAAATGGATGCCTAATATTATTGCAAAAATTAGATGTACCTGCTATATTAGATATAAAGTGGGCACATGTTATATGCCAAAATAAAATTTTACTTGGTGTTGTAAACTCTTTAGGCTATCTCCAAATTTACCAACTTAAAAATAACGATGGAAAAAAAAGTTTAGAATTATTAATACAAAAAAGAGTTGCAGATGAGGGCGAAATTCTTGCATTATCTTTAGATTGGTGTACAGGAAGATTGACGAGCAATAATGAATTAGGTTCGAAAATAGTAGTTAGCGACTCGAAAGGTTCCGTATCGTTGTTCGAATTAAATAATAATGAACTTAATGAAATTAATTCGTGGAATGCACATGGATTCGAAGCGTGGATCGCGGCTTTCAATTATTGGGATACGAACGTAGTATACAGCGGTACGAAGATTATTTTAAAATTGTTTTAAGTAATAAAACATTTTGTCACGATAATTAAATTTAAGGTGGCGATGATTGTAAATTCCAATGTTTCGATACAAGAGTAGGGACCCATCCTATCGCGTCAAATAGGGTTCACGGTGCTGGTGTTACAAGTATTCATAGTAATATAACAAGAGAATTTTTGTTATCATCTGGAAGGTGTTGTATGAGAAGTAACAGCAGAATTTAAAAATAAAATCAACGTTTCTAATAAAACTGTCATAATGTTGCAGTTACGATGAAATACTGAGACTATGGGATACAAGAAATTTTAAGAGACCAATATCGGAAATGAATCTCGGTGGCGGCATTTGGCGTTTGAAGTGGGATCCTTTCGTACGAAGATATTTGCTCGCGGCTTGTATGTATGGCGGATTTAGAATAGTCGACTGCGAAAAGACAGAAACTCCGTTTGTTATTGGCGAATACAACGAACATAAAAGTATAGCATATGGATGCGATTGGTCTTTCTTAAATAGCAAAGAAATTACAGAACAAATACTTAAAACAAAAATGCAAAATGTTCTTTTAACAAGTACTTGTTCTTTCTATGATCATGTTTTAAAAATATCAGCGTTATATATAAAGGATAATTAAACGATGTATAATAAAGAAGCGAAATTTAATTTGAATTGGATAATTTTTATTGAAATACACGTCATATTGTTTTGGGACTATATTTCTAGTCTGTGCACCACACATTTTTATTACGTTATTTGTTTAAGATAATGGAAGCTTAAATTTGACGAGCAACGAGCATGTGCGGAAAAAACGAAGGGTTCGGCGTCACTGTTGGATGTACATAGGAGTAGTTACCGAACTGGCTGGAAGATGGCAATGTGACGGTACGAGCTGCATTTCGCTGCGGCCAGTTCGATAAAAATCAGTCGTTCGCAGGGGCTGTTTTGGCGTGGTGTTGGTGCTGTGATTTCTGTGACGAGTTCGCGTGCAGTTCCGTGGGAAATTATCAGTGATTAGACGCGGTAAGTAAATTTCAGGTTTGTTCGAAATATTCTCCGTCCCATTTGTTTTTCACCGCATCTATCGACATTACGGATTTTTCGCGTTACGAGTGGTAAAATCAGCTGTGGAATCGTGCATGTCCTGTCCCTGTGGAATGACCTAGAAAAGATTTGGCGCGATCCTTGTAAAATTTTCGGAACTTGTTCCGTAAATCCTTTCGCGTGACTGTCAAAAGTAATTTCTAAATCGAGGTTAGATGTACGTCATTTGACATGATATTGTTCACGTAGAAAGAGCAGAGCAGCGGTTTAATTCCCCCTCGTCGTTGGGGAGACTGCTTTCAGAGAATTTAATCGAGTTTTGAGACTGTCGCTGGTCCATCGATTCATTAGCAGATTCACCTGTAAACGGTGATCGTTGGATGATCGTTTCATAGTTTGAAACAGTTTTTGATCGTTGAAATTCTATGTGTAGAATATAGTAGAGTACCGTCAATTTAATAGCTAAATTTATCTCTATCTGATTGTCGTTTAAATTTTATTTCAATTGCACGTAGATTTATTTTATTCATTTTAAGCTAAGCTTTGAACATTTATTTCTCATTGTATCAGTTTAGATTATTCGACAGTGAGAATTTACGTAAAACGATTTTTAATTTGAATTTTAAAGTCTATAAAGTATATCGCATCAATGCTCGGAAATTCAACAAGAAACAGTCACAATACCATCACGATATAGTTTAATCATCCGTTTTTGGGTGGGGTGAAGTACGAATTCAAATCAACCACTGTTGATAAATTAACGACGAGTACAGTCGGCCTTAAACATGCAGCGTGTAAATTCGCATCTGGTCACTGCATAATTAAATGTTTATTTAATCAAAGAGTGAAATTAGGCCGGTGCTAATTTTTGTTTCCTTTTCCCAACGTACAAGTGTCTCAAGCGCAAGGCTCACTTGACAGCTTCTTGTTAGACGCGGTGAAGGTTACTCAACAGCGTATTAATTATTCTCGGCAGCTTTTGATCGTTAGTTTAGATGTGATCTAACGGTTTCAGCGTTCTTTACCATTATTCACCCGTTCTTTAATTCGCTTACTCTCAGTGAACAATCAGATCGGATAAACTGTTCTCACATTAGGAATCCAAATTAAAATCTATTATAACGAATTTTCTATAATTCTTCATTGTTTCAAAAATTTTGAAACTTTTAAATGCAATTATTTCGTTAATTTTATTGCAAACGTTTATTCTCTAAATTAGGCAGGAACGCAATATTCGTATGAATATGTTTGCATTAATAACGTAAATTGAAACATGCACCCATGCCCTTTCTGATTGGTCCATTTTGTTGAGTTCGAATTGACCGCGCAAAAAGGTGGCGTGGCAGCATTATTAAAACTTATTTTCTTTTCCTTCTCGACTATTAGTATGTTTACAGGTTATGAGATCAAGGACGAACGAGATTGTACATGCACCGTCTAAAAATTATATTGCTAAGGGTGGCTGAGGTTTATTAACGTTCGTTCTGTCTGAAAAATGGGCGTTGTCTTTTCGAATATTTCACGGGTGAATTGGAATCCTTTCTCCTTGACGAAGAAAAAGAAAAATCTCAATTTTCCATCGTGTCGTGTCGTGACATGCGTGTCTTCGCCGTGTACACAGGCAAATGCGTGCGTGCGTTCGTGCGTGTGGTACACTGTTTAATCGATCTCTCGTGCTGTGCCAACATTATCACGTGAAAATGGAATGGTGTCGTATATGAAGTGACATAGAAACAAAAGGTATCCGGTATATATTTATTATTCAAAGGGATCATTATTCGCCACTTGTTTTTTGTCGTCCCTGTTAAAATGCAGAGATCGTTTGGCGAATCTATATTCCACGAGAAAATTTTACCGGAGAAATGCGTATACATATGTACGTGTAGAGAAAAATACATTAATTATTCACGTGGTAGCCATTTTGTACGGTTTGTTTCACCGATAGATTGGTATACGTATACGTCAATTATTTCCAAAAAATTTACAACACCGAGACGTACGATCTAATTGATCGAGTTTCAAAGATGAAGGAATTATCTATGTAATTATACGTGTTCTTTTTTCTCGCATGTCATGATTAGTTTTTTTTCGTTTAACGTTCCTCGGTTTTGCAAGCGTACTAGGAAGCGTCCTTCATCCAGAAACAAGATTTTCAATTAAAATTTTTCGAATGCCACACTATTCGATCTGCTGTGTAATTTACTGTTTCGTGATGCTCACAAATTCAGTTTCTTCGATTTCTGTCAGCTTCTAATACCTCTATATGTGTATATATTATATATTGTTTTATATATTACATTATTAATAATCGTATATGGCAGTAGACACGCGGAAAGGAAACCGACATAATAGGTTCCTCATTTAGGTGGATTTCTCGGTATGCGGAGCTCATTAAAATCGAAATTTTTCTCGATCGAGCGACGCCTCGTTAATTAACGAATCGCCGGACACGCGATAGAAACAGCTAGTGTTAATACGGGAATTATTAGGGGAGCTTAAGTCTCAGGGAATTACTCGCCGCGTTATTCACCGTCGTATGAATTAGCTTGCTACGTTGTGTCGAATAATCTTAAAATGCAGAAGAAATTTTTTTAATTACACTTACAATAAAATTACAGGGCGGACAAGCGAACTTACTGATTCTCTTTCCAACTATCCTACAGCGAAATTATTTACAACGTATATCGTTCGAAAGATTCACTTTCGCAGTTAACAATTTTCGTATTTACCGCGTTTTTTTTTTAATTTTATTTCGGTTAATATACAAGTGTTAACGTCGCATCTATCGGTTCAGGGCGAATCTATCGGGAGAATGTATCTTTGCTATGTACACTGCAACAGGTGAAAATTAATTTGGTATTAATTGTTTCGGTTGGTGGAGACAAAATTTCGAGAAAAATCGCCAGGTAAGACTTTCGTATTCAACCGCGCGCGCGTCCTTAATGTTTTCTATATGAGAAGACGCGAACGGAAGAGTGGAGGGGGAAGGGGGGCGGACAGGAATCATCAATTTCGCATTAAGTTCTGACGTAGATATCAAATCGAATCGCGAACTTGCAGAATTTATCATCAACGAGGCCGGATTGAATTAGGAAACTTGCTGGGTTTATTACCGGCGACGAGTGATATCGAATGAGAGAAACTTGGCGAGATTCACTCTTGATGCACGTCCGTGTTTTCCACGTCCTAATTCAAATTTCCCATTGGCGGGAAAATTTTTTCCCACGGTTCGTTCTACTTAAGCCTGGACATTCTTCGCCATATTGAATTCCTGTACGAAGTAAAATTGAGTAATCTCTTCAGAGAGAGAGAGTGTTTCGAAGTATTTTTCAAAAGTTCTACGCAGACGTAGAGTGTAGTGTTTTGTTGGTTGGAAAAAAAGCAACGCGGAGAAAAATAGTCGAATTTACGAACGTTTCTACAGCCGTGACAAATCGTTCAGGCAACTAAAGCGTCCGCCGCTGGAATTGTTCACTTGGTGCATCCTGCTTTACATCCTTCACGCGTCACAGCGATTCGGTTTTTTCCCCTCTCTCTGCGTAGTTACATTCCCGTGGATGACGATGTCGCCTGCCACGTGTGTACATTGACCGGGAGACACGTGTGGGATGATTCTCTCCCGACACCGCCTCCTGGAGGTTCAGCGACGTTTAGGTCTTCCTCGAGTACAGTCTCTCCACGGTGAAACTCGATTTACTTTTAAGGTCGCGCCTAACCCATTTCCCCTCTGTTCTCCGTCTGGAGGTTGAGGAAAAATCGCGAAAATTGAAGAATGCAAATTTTACGAAATTAAAAAAAAATTCAAATATTCTTGAAAATAATATCTACGAAATAAAAAAGAAAATGTAAATTTTCTTGAAAATGAAATTTACGAAATTAAAGAAAATAAAAGAACAACGATATCGAAAATTTGAGAGGAATTGTATATAAATTACTCGGAGATTTGTTGGTAGTAAATTAAAAAAAAATTTGAATCCGTAAATTTGCTGAAAAGTAAGTGAAGATTGCGAAATTCGACGATTTTCAACGTGTTAAAATAAGAGAACGAATGATTTATGGGGTACTCATCGGTCCAAGACGTTATAGACTCCATCTTTAGTCACGGCGAGTTAATTTATCCTTATTTAGCGTCGGATAACGATTCTGGGTAGTTTGTTGGTAAAGTTTCTTTCAAATTGAAGAACCAGTTTATTGGTACTTTTAATGGTAAAGAGACATATACCACAGGCTTGTTAGTAACGGCATAATGTTATCGACCTCCTCCTACTCCACCTACTGCTTCTTGCCACTTTGAAATATGAAGAAACTTCGAAATTGGGCTCGCAGTTTCCCATTCGCCGGAATGCACGAGAATTCTTGCTGCACTTTCCTCTCGAGTCCGGGCGTAGAAACATGTGGATTCCCACGGGAGCCATTCGTACAAGCCACGAAATTTATTCCGGAATGCTTTTTCACTCATATCGCTGGAAATTCATTCCTCCGTATCTTTCCTCCACGTCTTTAGGTCGATCGACTTCCGCTTTCCGCGCGTTGGACACTGCGATGGTAAAATTATGCTCCGTCGGACGTCTTTGATTTTCTCTTCCTTTTTTCACCTTAACACACCGGGTGGTCCATTTCAAATTTTCAACTTTCACGAAACTCTTCGCGGAATCTGTAGAGCTTTTTTTCTCAAGTTTATTTTTCTCGTCAAATTTTTATTCGCAATTTTATTTTATGCAATCAATCAAGGCTGTAAATTATTTAGCTACCGCGACTGTCCTCTATTTTTCGGTAGCGCGATTCGGGTCAGCCACGTTTCGCCGCGCGGTAAAAGTTGGTCGGAAAAAAAAAAATGAGAAAACCGAGAGGAAAAATGATGGTGACCACGATAAATCGGTGGAATCTGGGTCGAAGTCGCGAATTGTCGCCAAGATAGTGGTTACTCAGTTTTCGAACGAGATATTACCAAAGAAATTCCACGAAAAAGATTTATATTT